ATTGTCTTTATTAGTATGACCTAGGTCAAATTTCAAAGCTGGATTAAATTATATGTAGCGAGTTTTTAAATAATACTTTTTTATCAGCAAGAGAAAAAAAAAATACAAATGTAAGGAAAAACCATTGAGTATTTTCTTCTAAATTATTTAAAAGAGTGGATGTATTTGCATCATTTCTCAACTAATGTATTATAATTTATAATGTGAAAAATAGATTATATCATTTAAATGTATTATAAAATTATTAAATTTTCATAACCATTGGTATTAAATGTATATAATGTGCATGTCTTTAGATCTTATATAACCAATGACATTTTACATTATATAGGATCGTAGGAACAGAGTGAATGAAATTAAACGAGGGTGATTTTGTGGAGTGAGACAGTTCAAGAAATTAGTGTATGGCCCTTATTATTGTCTAGAAACAGAACAATTAATGAATAATTGACTACATCTTTTGAAGAATGATTAATGTAACATAACAGTGAGAGATCATACAAAGAGATTAAAACAGAATTCTCAAAAGTTTCTTATATAATATGAAAGAAACGGATGGAATCATCTGAAATCAATTCAAAATATACTATTCAGAATAAAAAAATAGGAATTCATGATAATTAAATAAAGTCAGTAAAATAAATAATATATAAATAAAAAGATGAACGCGCAAAAAAATGGCAAAAAAATCATCGAGTTATTTAATTATTTTATTGTAATTATTTATTAAATTTAATTTATATGTATTATTGATATAAAAAACTTACCCTGTCAATCAAACAAAACTCATCGTATGTATGACTGTTTAAATAAATATTGTAAGAGTTAATAAATTTATAATATAAAACAAATGTGATATGCAAAAAGCTATTAATATTCTGATTTAATAATTTTATTTCCTGAAAAATTTTAGCAAAGTATATTTCGTAGCATATTTTCTATTATTGATTAAAAATTTGTAATTTTTAACAATTTTTCTTAAAAAATTGGAGTATATATATAAGAAAGACTTTCACTAGCATTTATCTTATTCTATAGCACATATGATATTAGTTTAATGTTTTATTCAAAGTTTTCATGATATCGTGTTGATTTATTATCATACACACATCCTCAATTTAATTACAATTACATAAATTAGCATTTCCAATATTTTGATAAGTAATTTATTATCATCATATTCATAGTAAAACTAGTGGCATAAAGTAATATTCAAGTATTCCATAAGCAATATAATTTTTAAAACATTACATGTTAATTATATTCATTGTAAGATAAAAAAAAATATAGAAAATTTCAGTAAAGAACAGTGTACACTGACAGAAAATTGCATAATTAATTTTTTTTGCCAATAAATAAATAAAAATGTAATTAACGTAAAATATTCTGTAGGATTTCTTGATCGTAAATTAAAAAGTGTATTTTATTTTTAAAAAAGAAAACTAGCATATATATATATATATAATGATGAAATTGTACTGGGAGGAGACGCATTGAAAAAAGAACGTAAAGGACGGAAGACAGCACGTTAGATGGAATAGTCACTTTCTTTCGTTATTCGAAAGCGCTATTATATGCATTTCCTCTTTAAATTTTAATCAATTTTCAAATTTGTCATTTTCAAACAGAGAAATGAAGATAGACACAAAAGCAGGAGCCAATAAGTGCTTCAGTATTGTTCACCATGTACCAAAAAGCCCTACGTGATCCAACATATTATTATTATTATTTATTTATTATTATAATTCATTTTTCATCTTATCTCAAATTCCTTAAAATAATTTTGGTTTAAGATCATTAATATTTTCTTCCAAAATCTCTTCAATAGTAATAATAATAATATCAAACATAAATTTGTCTATTTACTCCCGTTTATAAAAATGGTACGTAGTTGTATTGTCCAACGTTTAAGAAATAAATATATATAATAATAAGTGATTTAGATAATGACATTTTAATTAAATTATCACGTTGTATATATTTAAATATCATATTTTTATATAAAATGAGTTGTTTTAAATATACGCAACAAGAATAATTTAAATGAGCTTGTATAATCTGAAATGTTTACAGATATACGCAGTTATAATCTATGCATTTTACTTTAAATAAGACTGCTCCTGAAAATGATATAAAGTATTGACGGAAAAAATAAACTAGTGTAAAAGTATTGAATTTTATGTGCAAATAGAGTTTACAGTATTATTTCTTACCTATTTATTTCATGTAGCTCCGATAGTATATATGCAACTGTATGTGTAAGAATTATTAAAAAATAATGACGATATTATTATTGTTAATAATATTTCTATTATTTTTAGGTTAAGTGAAAACGATATATTCTTTACCTTCTTGCTTTTTTAAATTGTGACAGTGACAATTTGACGATATTCAATTTATTTAATGGTTTAAATATTCAAAGAAAAACGCTCCAATTTGACAACCCAAAAAGAAAGATCAATTTAAAAACGTATCACTATGATTAGGGCTTTTTTCCCTCAATAATTGAACCATTTTTGAATTTGTAGCTAGAAATTAATCTTTTTCAAATGAAAATTTATTTGAGTAATAAATATTATTTTTTAATATTTTTCATACACAATTAAAATGAAATTTTATTCACTGTACTTACAAAATTGAACGAGGTTGCTTTACAATGACTATTATCGATCAATCTTATACCATCACTTATGAATCTTGACTTTCGCCAGGCAAATAATATTACAACTAATAATGTAATGTTAAATAAATACAAATATTAAGACCAGTAATATTACATTTTTTATTCAAAAGTTCAACTTGAAATTTTAAAAAAATAAAATCTATAACTGTTGTCATTAAATAAATTAGGCTAATAATGACAGTGGAATAAGGTAGAAACTTGAGAGGAAATGAATATCCATTCATTTAACTGAATGTTTTATTCCTCTCTCAATTTCAGTGACTAAAATGAAAGAAGTAAACATATAACAGAACACTAATATTATATTTATTCGTTTAATTTAATTTAGTTTTAAATGAATTATTATTATTCATTAAAAAATAAAAGAAAAAAAGAAAAAAAATGGGAAGACCAATTGCTCCACGCCACTGGTAAGCATGCTCGGAGATAAACGAAATTACAAATAAGTCCAATATTTGAATTTTAATTTCAAAATTAGGAAGGAATCTGAACCATCGGAAATTACCCCGAACACACGTGAACAGAAGAATTTTTGTATTATTGTGGGGTCATTTTCGAGAATGATTCGATGAGAATCAACCCGTGACGGGGTAAGGTTAAATCGGTAACTACAAACTCTAGGCGGCTGAGTCTTACTCATAGTGCCACTTCTGTTATTTCCATTAAAGAACAAGGGTGTTTTCGGAACAAAACTATTCACTTTAAAATATCCTCAGAAAATGACAAACTTTCCAACTTGAAGCCCTTGTCTTCTAGTATTGTCACATAAATTAAACTTTTAAAAGACTACCATAAATGAACTTCCCACAATACCCTTCTTAATTATTATTATTAAGGAATATTTGTAAATATTCTCTCTTTTTCCCATACAGTTTATAGTGTAGAATTAACTGTTTCAACAAAACAAAAATTTAAAGTATGGGAATCAATCTACGTGCGTTTCAATCTACTTATAGTAATTCTGAATAAAGTTTACTTCACCATACTAGCACAACTTTTCATACACTTTTCACAATCAATTTCTCACTCTCTTCTTCACTAATAAAATCTTATAGATGACATAAATATGTGAATGTGTAATATTTAATTTTTAAACTTAAATATGAACGTAATATATATACATATATATATTTAAATTATTAAGATTCTATTTTAAAATTTATGTGATTATAATTTATGTATTAATAATCGATATTAAAAAAAATGTAAGTATGTACTACTTTGTATTAGATTCATTATCATATCCTTTTTTATATATAAATACTTATATTTCTGAGATTAGACATAAATTTTATATTGATAAGGATAATTAAACTCAGTCACTGCCATCATCGCTACTCATTGATACAAGACATTGATACACTGGAGTGGGTGGAATTTGAAAAAGAAAACACACTTTGATTCCTTGATATAGGCAAAATAAGTTAAAGTCATATTTTTTTAGCACAACTAATTCACATATTAAAGATTTAATTTAACTTTTATGAACTAATCATGTAAAAAAATAACATTATGAGTAATAAATTATATAGAATACGGCTTTAAAAGTAATTATTACAAATTTAACGACTATGCATTATGAGTAAAATAAATAAATTAGCAATACCAGATAAAAGTTGTAATTAATATGGTTTTTAAGACGGTTATAACAAAAAATATCAAACTTATTATTGTTCGTATTATTTCAATATATATATATATATATATATATATATATATATATATATATATATATATATATATATATATATATAACAAGTGGGAGTATAAATTATTGTTATAATAGTTATCATCACCTATTTTTAATTATAATGCATATATAATATTCCCCACGTGTATATAAGATTCAAATTAAAGATAATGCTTGTGATTATAAAACACGATATTCGTAATGTCTCTTGTATTAATATATTTTTAAACTAAATGTATATGGAAGAGGAAAAGCTTATACTAAGAAATAATTTTCTTAATCATGAGAATTTAGATATTTAAGTCTTGCAAATAATAACATGGACAATTTTATCACAATCCACCAGTTTTACCAATATTAATATATCATTTGAAATTTCCTCTTAATATGAATTTTGTCAGTTAAACTAATATTTACATACATTATTAACAAAAACGATACTAAAACTATTTTCAATGAGCATAAATTTGAATTAATAAAATAGAACGAGTAAGTTTTAAGTAAGTAATTATGTACTCGAGAAAAAAAAAAAAGTGAAGGGCTTTTTATTAATATGAAGGAAGAGTAGGGGCATATATATATATAGCTAGAAAGAACAGTGACTAAAAGAAGTATAATATATAGATTTTTTATTAGAATGCAAATCCAAAGCGTGGTTTGTTGTATTGTTGTGCCAGCAAACACCCTCGTCTCCACACCATAAAAAGAGGAGAGTTTCCTGGTTTTTGTCTTCCTCTAGTTGCACAAATCCCACCTTTTCTGTCTCAATTTCCTCTCTTTTTTTTCTTAGTTTTTCAGAAGAAATTCATCTTGCTGCAGCTAGCTAGAGAGCCGCTGCAACAAGTTGAGTGAAAGAAACAAACAAGAGTTGTTTGTAAATTAAGTAAGGGAATATTTTTGAATAGATTCTTCTTCCCTTTTCTTTGGCTAACTTCAATGTCAAACATCACGAGTTGTGATAGTGGGAGCTTCTCTACAGAAAATACCAGAGAAGATGCAGCAGTTAAGCAGCAACCCGAGATGCTCGCTCAGTTCCACAGTCCACATTCTCTTACTTCAACCACAACAACAAATAACAGCAATGCTTCCAACACAAATTCTCAACCACCTGCACCTGTTAAGAAGAAAAGGAGCCTACCAGGAAATCCAGGTATAACTTTTTCAACAGCCATCTCAGAAAAAAAGTTTACTCTTTTTCGGTCCTACTTACATCAATATTCATGATTCTTTGTTTTCTTCTTCTTCTTCTCTTCCTTTCTGACCTTTACTAGTTTAAGTAACATTTTCTAATAATTGGCTTTTCAATTATTTTTTTTCAGTTTTAAAAATTGGATGGTCAAATTAAAGCTGCAGCCATAGATCAATATTCTCATCTATGTCCTGCTCATGCTATATAACAAAGAATTCTGGTATATATATATGTATATTTCATTCATGGAAAAAATCTTCACCAGTCGTTGATTTTAAAAATGAAATAATAATCTGTCTGTATATTTTACTAAAAAAGGGGTTTTATATAATGAAATTAAGAAAATGATATCCCACAAAAGGTGAACATCAGATTTCTGGACGATGACATGCTTAATTAATTACAGCATGCTTAATTAAGATACGAAGAGATAAGCACCATGAAATTAAGATAAGGCCTTGATCTGTTAGAAGTCAGCTTCTTTGAAACGGTGAGAAGGATCTGGGTATGTTTTAAGGCAGAATTTGATAACCCAAATGAAGAATTATTGGGGAGTAATTAGTAGTCGAAGAAACTATAACTCAATTATTGCCTTGTAGGGCTTTATTACAATCATTGATGTTCACTGTTGACTTTGCTTGACTACTTGTTTCGTTTGTTTTTTTGTTTCACAATAGTTTCAAGATAAAAGGACCATATATACATGCTTTTATATCTCAAATAACTTTTGCTCTCCATGTGTTTGAGTATTCTTATGTGTTTGTTTTCTTGTGTCTGTATCTGGATGCGTCAAAAAAAGAATGAAAGGGTGTGGAAGAGACAAGGAGAGAGAGTTCTTGGAGTTTTGTTGCTTTAGTTTAAATTATATATATTCTATCTTTCTCTTTCCATTCTTCTCATCTTCGTGAACCAAGAATCAGATGTTGCATTCTTCTTCTTCAACTCCATTATTATTACAAATCAGACCTCATCACTTCCTAGTTTTTTGTCACTTTCTTCACCCTAATTAAATATCCATTGAAACAACTTGGAACAATAATTATCATTATCTTGCTTTGAGTGCCATATAATTGCACATTAAGCTACTACTAAGAGAAAGATAGATAATTGTACATAGTTTAATTACCATTTTGGAACTGACGTGTGTGCAGATCCGAGTGCTGAAGTAATAGCTTTATCACCAAACACACTAATGGCAACAAACCGGTTCATATGTGAAATCTGCAACAAAGGGTTTCAAAGAGATCAAAACCTTCAGTTGCACCGGCGAGGCCACAACTTGCCATGGAAGCTTAAGCAGAGAACAAGCACGGAGGTTCGAAAGAGGGTTTATGTTTGTCCAGAACCTTCGTGTGTCCACCACAATCCTGCAAGAGCACTGGGTGACCTCACCGGCATTAAAAAGCACTTCTGCAGAAAGCACGGCGAGAAGAAGTGGAAATGTGATAAGTGCTCAAAGAAATACGCTGTTCAGTCTGACTGGAAAGCCCACTCAAAAATCTGTGGTACAAGGGAATACAAATGTGACTGTGGTACCATTTTTTCAAGGTTCATCATCTACGTCATATATCATATTCTTCTTTTTTAATATATTCTACTATGAATATGTATGTTTGAAATTTGACTCAGCTATATAATTCACCATGGTTTCCGTGCATAAGTTCCATGCAGTACCTGTACTATATAAATAAAATGTTTCATGGGGTCTTTCCTTGACCACACACACCCTTGTTGACTTAAACAATGAACTCCTTACTTTCTACCTTTGAATTTTTTTCGTAAACCTTTGTTAGGTTGCTTTTATCTGTTTTCAACTTTTCTCTCTAGTTTTCGTAAACCTTTCTCTATTATATATATGTACACGCAGCCCTTCATCAATGGTCAATAATAATTAGCAAGTAGCATTTATATACACTTTTGCATGATGTGTAGAACTACCAGAACCTAACTCTTTGTATATAGTCAACAAGAATAAGTCACTGTAAATGCATAAACATATATATAAAATTTATTTGACTGTCAAAGATTCCCGGGCTAAGGCTCTTTTTATATTTGATAACAATAATACCCATGCATGGTTTTCATGAACAACCTACTTGGCATTATTTATATGCAGCTTGTCAAAATTCTCTCTTTTTTATTTTCTTACTCATGCATTATGAATTACTTACACTGAATCCTTCGAATATTCGGTTTTTCTTTGCAGAAGAGACAGTTTCATTACACACAGAGCTTTCTGTGACGCACTAGCTGAAGAGAACAACAAAGCCAACGAAGGACAATTACCAAAGATAGGTCCAAACTTGCAATCTCAACAGATTCCAAACCTTGTTTCCTCGTTACCAATCAACACCAACGTTGTTCCCAACCCACAACAAATCGGTGGCACCTCGGAGTTCAACCATGCTGAAAACAAGCACCCACTGTCACTCCCACACGAGCTGATGCCAATGCCTGCACCAAAACCCTTCAACTCCAACACTACCATGGCAGGAACAGTGTTCTCCAGAAGCCTCTCATCAACCTCTTCACCGTCTCTCCAACTGAGTTCAAACATATTCGAGGAAAACGGGCTCCACCTGGCTGCAGGGTCGCAACACATGTCAGCCACCGCACTGCTGCAAAAAGCTGCCCAAATGGGAGCAACGGTGACGGATAAAAATTTTACCACAAACATGGCACCGCCGTCGTTTGGGGTGCTGCAACAGCATCCGAATGGACAATCCTTCATGAACCAGTACATGCACAGTGGCCAACAGGATCCCAACGTTAGCATCTCCGCTCAGTATAACGGTTTCGGCGCAAATGGGATGAGTGGAGGGAGCGTTGGAATGAACGGTGTGGACATGTTCAACGCTATCTTGGACCAAAGCAAGGNATATATATATATAGCTAGAAAGAACAGTGACTAAAAGAAGTATAATATATAGATTTTTTATTAGAATGCAAATCCAAAGCGTGGTTTGTTGTATTGTTGTGCCAGCAAACACCCTCGTCTCCACACCATAAAAAGAGGAGAGTTTCCTGGTTTTTGTCTTCCTCTAGTTGCACAAATCCCACCTTTTCTGTCTCAATTTCCTCTCTTTTTTTTCTTAGTTTTTCAGAAGAAATTCATCTTGCTGCAGCTAGCTAGAGAGCCGCTGCAACAAGTTGAGTGAAAGAAACAAACAAGAGTTGTTTGTAAATTAAGTAAGGGAATATTTTTGAATAGATTCTTCTTCCCTTTTCTTTGGCTAACTTCAATGTCAAACATCACGAGTTGTGATAGTGGGAGCTTCTCTACAGAAAATACCAGAGAAGATGCAGCAGTTAAGCAGCAACCCGAGATGCTCGCTCAGTTCCACAGTCCACATTCTCTTACTTCAACCACAACAACAAATAACAGCAATGCTTCCAACACAAATTCTCAACCACCTGCACCTGTTAAGAAGAAAAGGAGCCTACCAGGAAATCCAGGTATAACTTTTTCAACAGCCATCTCAGAAAAAAAGTTTACTCTTTTTCGGTCCTACTTACATCAATATTCATGATTCTTTGTTTTCTTCTTCTTCTTCTCTTCCTTTCTGACCTTTACTAGTTTAAGTAACATTTTCTAATAATTGGCTTTTCAATTATTTTTTTTCAGTTTTAAAAATTGGATGGTCAAATTAAAGCTGCAGCCATAGATCAATATTCTCATCTATGTCCTGCTCATGCTATATAACAAAGAATTCTGGTATATATATATGTATATTTCATTCATGGAAAAAATCTTCACCAGTCGTTGATTTTAAAAATGAAATAATAATCTGTCTGTATATTTTACTAAAAAAGGGGTTTTATATAATGAAATTAAGAAAATGATATCCCACAAAAGGTGAACATCAGATTTCTGGACGATGACATGCTTAATTAATTACAGCATGCTTAATTAAGATACGAAGAGATAAGCACCATGAAATTAAGATAAGGCCTTGATCTGTTAGAAGTCAGCTTCTTTGAAACGGTGAGAAGGATCTGGGTATGTTTTAAGGCAGAATTTGATAACCCAAATGAAGAATTATTGGGGAGTAATTAGTAGTCGAAGAAACTATAACTCAATTATTGCCTTGTAGGGCTTTATTACAATCATTGATGTTCACTGTTGACTTTGCTTGACTACTTGTTTCGTTTGTTTTTTTGTTTCACAATAGTTTCAAGATAAAAGGACCATATATACATGCTTTTATATCTCAAATAACTTTTGCTCTCCATGTGTTTGAGTATTCTTATGTGTTTGTTTTCTTGTGTCTGTATCTGGATGCGTCAAAAAAAGAATGAAAGGGTGTGGAAGAGACAAGGAGAGAGAGTTCTTGGAGTTTTGTTGCTTTAGTTTAAATTATATATATTCTATCTTTCTCTTTCCATTCTTCTCATCTTCGTGAACCAAGAATCAGATGTTGCATTCTTCTTCTTCAACTCCATTATTATTACAAATCAGACCTCATCACTTCCTAGTTTTTTGTCACTTTCTTCACCCTAATTAAATATCCATTGAAACAACTTGGAACAATAATTATCATTATCTTGCTTTGAGTGCCATATAATTGCACATTAAGCTACTACTAAGAGAAAGATAGATAATTGTACATAGTTTAATTACCATTTTGGAACTGACGTGTGTGCAGATCCGAGTGCTGAAGTAATAGCTTTATCACCAAACACACTAATGGCAACAAACCGGTTCATATGTGAAATCTGCAACAAAGGGTTTCAAAGAGATCAAAACCTTCAGTTGCACCGGCGAGGCCACAACTTGCCATGGAAGCTTAAGCAGAGAACAAGCACGGAGGTTCGAAAGAGGGTTTATGTTTGTCCAGAGCCTTCGTGTGTCCACCACAATCCTGCAAGAGCACTGGGTGACCTCACCGGCATTAAAAAGCACTTCTGCAGAAAGCACGGCGAGAAGAAGTGGAAATGTGATAAGTGCTCAAAGAAATACGCTGTTCAGTCTGACTGGAAAGCCCACTCAAAAATCTGTGGTACAAGGGAATACAAATGTGACTGTGGTACCATTTTTTCAAGGTTCATCATCTACGTCATATATCATATTCTTCTTTTTTAATATATTCTACTATGAATATGTATGTTTGAAATTTGACTCAGCTATATAATTCACCATGGTTTCCGTGCATAAGTTCCATGCAGTACCTGTACTATATAAATAAAATGTTTCATGGGGTCTTTCCTTGACCACACACACCCTTGTTGACTTAAACAATGAACTCCTTACTTTCTACCTTTGAATTTTTTTCGTAAACCTTTGTTAGGTTGCTTTTATCTGTTTTCAACTTTTCTCTCTAGTTTTCGTAAACCTTTCTCTATTATATATATGTACACGCAGCCCTTCATCAATGGTCAATAATAATTAGCAAGTAGCATTTATATACACTTTTGCATGATGTGTAGAACTACCAGAACCTAACTCTTTGTATATAGTCAACAAGAATAAGTCACTGTAAATGCATAAACATATATATAAAATTTATTTGACTGTCAAAGATTCCCGGGCTAAGGCTCTTTTTATATTTGATAACAATAATACCCATGCATGGTTTTCATGAACAACCTACTTGGCATTATTTATATGCAGCTTGTCAAAATTCTCTCTTTTTTATTTTCTTACTCATGCATTATGAATTACTTACACTGAATCCTTCGAATATTCGGTTTTTCTTTGCAGAAGAGACAGTTTCATTACACACAGAGCTTTCTGTGACGCACTAGCTGAAGAGAACAACAAAGCCAACGAAGGACAATTACCAAAGATAGGTCCAAACTTGCAATCTCAACAGATTCCAAACCTTGTTTCCTCGTTACCAATCAACACCAACGTTGTTCCCAACCCACAACAAATCGGTGGCACCTCGGAGTTCAACCATGCTGAAAACAAGCACCCACTGTCACTCCCACACGAGCTGATGCCAATGCCTGCACCAAAACCCTTCAACTCCAACACTACCATGGCAGGAACAGTGTTCTCCAGAAGCCTCTCATCAACCTCTTCACCGTCTCTCCAACTGAGTTCAAACATATTCGAGGAAAACGGGCTCCACCTGGCTGCAGGGTCGCAACACATGTCAGCCACCGCACTGCTGCAAAAAGCTGCCCAAATGGGAGCAACGGTGACGGATAAAAATTTTACCACAAACATGGCACCGCCGTCGTTTGGGGTGCTGCAACAGCATCCGAATGGACAATCCTTCATGAACCAGTACATGCACAGTGGCCAACAGGATCCCAACGTTAGCATCTCCGCTCAGTATAACGGTTTCGGCGCAAATGGGATGAGTGGAGGGAGCGTTGGAATGAACGGTGTGGACATGTTCAACGCTATCTTGGACCAAAGCAAGGCTTTATCAAAGATCATAGAGCAAAGCAACAGAAGCAGTAATGGAGGTGCAACAAATGGAGGTTCAAGTGCTGCTATTAACGTCGGTGGAAGTAAAGGAAGTGAGGATGTGATGACTTTGGACTTTTTGGGAATAGGAGGTGGCGGTGGCGGCGGCGGCGGTGGCGGTGCGCATGGAAACTTTTATGGTGGTGGTCAGCAAGCAGAAAACGGTGCGCCGGATGAGGTTTGGAGAAACTGGTCAAGTAAGAACGCAGGGTTTGAATCATTTTCAGCAACAAGTAGCATTTGAAAGGGTGCAACAAAATGAAACGTGTGTCTTTCTAAAGAGGAAGATGCATTGAATCGTGGACAGTGGTCGATTACCATCAGGAGCAGGCAGTGCAACATTGTAGAACCATGGATAAAATTTGTGCTCAAATCTTAAAATTAAGGATAATGTCAATTTCTGAAACACTTTTATAATACATTTTTTAATCTCTCTTTTATCACAGTACTTATATTATTTTATAGCTTTTTTCTCTATCCCTCTCCACGATTATTTTTTTTTTCTGAACAAAATTAATGTTGTTTTTTCAATGTATATTTTACATGCATGTTTAAGTGGAGTTGATTTTTAAATGGAAAAATTAGTATTTGGTAGTTTTATTTCGACACCCTCCATTTTGACTGAAGTAGGGACGATACTATGATGAAATTTTGACATCTTTATTATTTCGTATACTTATTAGTATAAATAAATATATTACTAGTATATTCTAAAGAGTTATTTATATTTATTATCATCATTTAAATAGAATATTTTATTACTAAAATGAGTTTTTAATGATTATTTGAGAAAGAAAAAACTGTTGCCAACAAATCACGTTTAAAAATTATAAGTGAGTTCTATCAAATATGTGCGAAATAGAATTACATATTATTTATTCAATTTGGATTATAATGTGCTTATCAAAAACTTACAAAAATGATCTTTAATTACATTTTGGAAATATATCTGTGTGTATAAATTTAGTAAGAAGTGACAAGAGGAATAAAATTTAGAAATAAAAGTTTTAAAAATTGTGATTATGAAGTTCCCATGACAAATGCTATTTACAAGGTCTACATAAAGAAAAATGTCTTTCGAATTAAACATACATAAAAAGAAATATATAAATGCAACTATTTGCAATAAAGTATTGATTGTCTTTCACACATGTTCATGTTGTTATATACCTATATATGTTCATCTGCATAATATAGTCATAGCATGTTATTACATGAATAATAGAGGATAAGTTATTGAAATATATATAAATATATATAAATAAAAGAAACAATTTTGAACTTTATAGAAATATATTTTAAAACATACAAAAATTATATATTCATACATTGATGTCTTTCAGAAGTCTGTATTAAATATGTTATATAAGAAATTAACATATAATCCAAACAAGTACGTCATGAAGCTTAGTAAGTTAGAAATTCATATCTAGATTAAAAATGCTAACTATTTGGTTACTACTTGACTAGGGTATGCTTTGAAAATATGAGTTTTCCATATAAGTAAAGTATATAATGAAATATAGAATTCTTAGAGTTTTGTGGTTTAGAAACTCAAGTTCAAGTAAGAAAAGCTAGCTAAATTTATAAGTGAACCTAATAATGATGTATATATCAATGTTAGTTCATTACAGTCTATTCGCACATTTTATGGTGTATAAGAACTCTTTACTACAACATAGTTTCAATACTTAATATACAACTTAAACAATAATTCAACCTAACCTCACATGTGTAATTGCAAATTCATCATTATTACTCAACATTATCATATATAATTAGTTTAAAAAAAAAACTTAATTCATATATAGACATATTCATTTTGCATTTATAAAAAATATTCATATTCAATTTATTAAAAGAGACTAGAAGAAAAAAAATTAGCTTGAACGAAAATTTGCTTGCTTGAACAAAAATGTCTCGTTTTAATGAAAATTTGGCCAACTCTTGAGTTCTAGTGTTATATTTGTTTGAGTGAAAAATCTTTTGTTTGAGCGAAAATAAGATAGAAAAAAAGTTTTGATGTTTATTCTGTTTTTGCTTAACTAAAAATTTACTTGAACAAAAATATAAAAAAAAATCAACTTTGTTTAGCCAAATAAATTCATTTTCAAAGTGTTACCCAAAATCAATTTAACAAATACAACTTTTAAATACATTTAAATAATTACAATCAAATATATTTATTCAAACATCATCCTTTTTTATTTCAATTCAATTTTAATCATTTAAAGTCCATATATACTTCATTCACATCAAACTCATAAACTAAGGAAAAATTATAAGAAAATAACTATGTTATGAGAAAATATAATTTATGTTAGTCACGTAAGTGGATTGTTTTTAGATTATTTGGAAAAAAAAACTACTTTTTCTTTATTGTTGTTCTAAACTATTTAATAGTGTGTTTATAAAATTAAAGAAATCATAAAAGTATATAATTATTAAATTACAAAATTAAAAATTATAATATTATCAGATTAATTTCATAAAATTGTAATAAAATTTTTTAAAAAATTTAAAATTGTAAAACTGTAATTATGAAATTATGAAATTATAAAATTATAAAATTGAATTAAAACAAATAGGATATTTTCAACAGCTAATTACTTACGTATTAAATTAGTAAGTAATTACCTATAGGTAAATTACCAATTGATTTGATTTATAGGTAATTTATCCATAAGTAAGATCCATAAGTAATATATAAGTAAATTTTGTATGTAAGTGTTAACTACAAGAGATTTATTAACAATTTTTTTTGTCTTAATCAATATGTAGATAAATCATAGTTATTTACGAATTTTGACTATTAGGGATTTTGATAGTAGATAATTTTTTTTTGTCTTAACTCATAAAAAACTATATTCATAACTTAGTTAATAAACTATATGCTTTAACATCCATAATTCAAACCATTAAGAATTCAATCATTAAAAGTGTTCAATTCAAAATATTATAAAACAACTATCTATTAATCAAAAGCATTTAAAAAAATTTCTAAACAAAACATCATCCACATATAGAAATAAAATTCTTATGACCAAATCATTTTCTCATATAGATTATTTATCCTAAGATTTAAAAAAAACATATATAATTTTTCCTTAAAGCAACTTCCAACCCAACAATAAAACTATTCAAAGACATAGTATATAAACGTAACGAAATTTTAGTATAGTTTTAATTAAGTTGAAACAATTACTTTTTTTCACCTCAACATGTCAAAATTGATAACAAATTCATAAAAGAAAAAGGAAAACAAAAAATATTTAGAATAAATGAAAACTTATTCTATTTGAAAATGTAGTCAGATAGAAATAAGATTCATGGTTCCTCAGTTGCTCCCAAATGTAATCAGATTCTAAAAAATATGATATATGGAACTAGAGAAACGGTAGAGAAAATATTTTCCGGAGGGAGAAGTAGAAAATTATGAAAATGATGGGTTAGTTTTACAATTTAATTTTTATAATAATAAATAATTTTTTTTATAAGAGTCAATTTAATTCATTTATGTAAATCTATTTGCATATTAATATTTTATTATTACTATTTGTGTCTAAATAATTTACAGGGATAATTATATACAATTTATATAGATAATAACATTTATAATTTTTTTATTATAATATTTTATAGTAAGTGTTGAAAATTTATTAAATTGTACAATAAGTTTTGATAAGTTTTTTTAAAATATTTTTAAATTTTAAAATCATAAAACATCTATGATCATTATTGATGAAAAAAATTACTCTATGTTGAAAAATAAACACTACTTTTTGCATGATAGATACACGTATTTTCTTTTATTAATATGAATAATGAAGATTAAGTTATAATTATAAATGAGTAGCTTATACAAGTGTATCAGAAACATATACGAAATTCAAAAGAGAAATCTAAGTAGTAAGTTTTAGGATTGGTTTTGAGTGAAAATATTTCAAGATAGCATATTGAAATTCGACAAGAATAAATTTTACTATATTATGTAATTTATTTATTAAATTACTTATTCATCATAATACAAAATATTGTATGATAGACAAAAATATCTCTCTCTCATTAATATAGATAATTAAGATTAAGTTATTTTTAATTTCACAAATGTATATTATCCAGTTAACATAATTATTACATCACTATTTCTCATCATTATTTATAATAAAAATAAAATCACATGTATTAAAATTTACAGTTAATAAAAAATTTCTAATGATACTATATAATCTCATTTATTTACTCATTTAAAAATTATAACAAGACATTCTAACGTTTCTCAAATAAAAAAAAAATATTTATACCAAAATCGTCAACAACAATTATCCTTCCTTCCAACTCAAGAAAGTTTGATTTTTTTTTATTTCATATAAACAATTCGTAGGAAATGTGTATTAAATAATTTAGGTGTTTTTTCTTCTTTTTTAAAGAATCTGTTGTTTTAAAATTTTAATATGTAATTGTACAGAAATAAAGGAGAATCAGGGTTATCTGTTAATGAAGTAGTACAGAAAATTGTTTCATGAGTATGAAAAAATAGTTGAATATAGTATACAAAGTCATAATATAATAAATGTGGGTAATTATTTAAGTGCGTATAAATGACATTTTTTAATATTAGCACAAAAATATCATACAACTAATTAATTTTGAAATTAATCAAAAATAAAAAAGAATAACATTCCCAACTTTAGATTGTTAGTAAACTAAAAAGAAACAAGACCAAGACCATAAAGATAATTAAAAATAGGCTTAATATTTCTTTTGGTTCTTCGAAAGAGGGAATTGTTCAAAGTGGTCCTACCTTTCTAAAAAGTTCGAAGTGATTCCAACTTGTGAAAAATCGGATCAAGTTAATCCTTTTTGTTACCGTGTCAAAATTTTAACGGTACAACTGTCTCGTTGGCCAAAACTTAATGAACTGTCCTATTTTTCTCATACGTGGAATATAACGTGTCAATTTTGAATTGTAAAAACATAAATTACTTATCACATCAACTTCATCTTCCACCTCTAGAAACATTAGAGCCACAGATCGCCGCCGTCAACACCTTAGACCACCACTAAGGGTTGGCCAAATCGAGCCTCATCCACCGAGAACTTGCAAAAACCAAATCGGATGAATGTGGGTGTGGTGCTTGACGAAGGGTTAATTTCCCCCGACACCCATTATAGGGCCTTCTACGCTGAGAGAAGCCCCTGGTGGTTGGTCATCAAGGCCGTTGGGCTCCCGACCATAGATCCAAGCTTTATGATAACTCTGCCATGGAGAATCTCCTCAAGAACATTACACGTGTAATCAGGAAACCCAACCTCCATCTTCAATCTCACACAGCCATGGCGACCATCGATGCCACCGTCGTCGAAATCAAACGCGCTTGGGAACCACCTTCTCACTCTCCACAGCGGCCTTCTGATCAAGCCTCCCGGTTGCCATGCAACTCTCCACTGCGATCTTGACGAGGTCCCCCGCTACGGTGCCCGTGACCTCTCTTCTACCACTGTATCCTACCACTCTACCACCGCAATGCCTGGTTCAAGTGTAGCCGCCTCCTCTGCGTCGTCTTCGTGCTCCGCCACATGCGTGACTTTAACAGTGAGGTTATGGGCAATTTCTATATGGGGATTTCCTTTCACTTCAACGGATCTGTCATTCTCTTTGTCGGCGAGATCGCCTCCTATGCTACCAGAAGCAAGTGGCCCATGGTCATCGATTGCTTACCATGCTCCGCCGCCACCTAAAGAGGCCCATTTCAGAGGCGTCCGCTAGCGTCTTTGGGGCTGCTTCATCGCGGAGCCGCCAGGGCCTACGACACCGTAGCCACCTGCCCCGACGATCGCAGCTCTACGGCCGGGATTCCAACTCTAAAAGGAACCCAAACGCAGATCAAACAAAAACCCAAATTCAAAAACCCTAATCCCAAATTGCAAGATTTGGGCCGTTATCCATTCCACTGCCATCGTCGGAGATTACACACGGCGCATCACCACTCAGGACGAGCTCCATCGTCTCTCTGCAACTGCTGTCGAACGCTTCGCCGAAGAGCTCGTTAGCCTCCCAGTCCCCGCCCTCTCGCACAGCTCTCTCTCCCTCTCGCTGAACACGTCATTTAACTTCAATGCCACGCAATCACAAAAAATGGGCACCTCATTATGTTTTGTCCAGGAGGACACTTGCACCGTTAAAATTTTGACGCCCTAATAAAAAAGAATTAACTTGACCCGAATTTTCACAAATTAGGACCACTTTGAACTTTTTAAAAAAGGTAAAACTACTTTGAATAATCTCCCTATTTCGAGGGACCAAAAAAGGTATTAAACCTTAAAAATATAATAGTTGAAATAAACGGCAATATGATAACTCCATGCCAATAATTTTTTTCATAAATATTTTTGAAAATAAGATTACTTTCTTCCATGAGTTCAAATTAAGAAGTGGTATGTAAAATAAAAAAAGTGTAGAAGGGGAAAATGAGAACCACATGATTGATGAAGCAGATAAGAGGTATGCCATTGGCATGGCAGCATGGAGTACCAACCAGAATCCACCACTTCATTATTTTGTCTTCGACTTGGATTGCATCCTTCTCGTGATTGCAACCCAAAATTGAAAAGGTTGCAATTGGTAGGGGCCAGGTAGTAGGGACAAAATATACGGTGTAAATTGAATTTGGCATCAATATCGCACACAACTGCCCTGTTACTTTGAATAGCAGCACATGGGTTTGGCAGTGCAAGCCAGGTTTCGGGCATGGAACTCAATTCCAATGCCACGTTGTTCCGGCAATCGTAACGAGGGAGTGAATGGAGGGCCATCTCCAGCAGAGGAATTTGCACCACTGGCCACCAAATTTCAGAGGCGTCTTCTTGTGGGCACAGGGTCAGCTTCACTAGTGGCTTTTGGGGCAAACTTTGGAGGCATCACCAGTTTTCTTCTTGGTTTGTCACCACAAAGTGGTCGCAATCTGAAGCTGGACGTGCTTTATCCAATTGGTGGCTACAGCCGTTGCATTGACACAAAGGAAGGATTTGGTAATGTGAATTGAAGATTCATTATATTAAAAGAAAAATCCACTGTGTTAACAGAAGAGAAAACAAAAACTCATGTTTTTATGTATTTGGATGATCAGAATTCATATACCCAGCAAATTGGGTGGGAGATCAGACAGTTCTGTATCGAGCTGCTAAGAAAAGAGAGATGGAACGATCATTGGATCCTCCTCCCCTGAATGTACGGCGGCGTTCTAACATCAATGAACCGGTTGTTGCATTTGGTCCCCCGGGTTCCACTGGAGAACTCAATGTTAGTGTAATTGTTTCACCTGTCGCACCAGATTTCTCGTGAGTATGAGCAGTAGAATATAGTAAATTTTAGAGATGTCACTTCAATTCCACTTTATTAGTTTTTTACCGACTATAAGAATTATATGTTAATTGAAAAAGAAAGGGATAACTTTTCACTTTTTCCTTTCAGTGCAAGGTGTTGGGTCAAGAGGCGCATTGAAAAAATAAATGAAAATTTATCAATAGTTTGCCAATCATGAATCACCTGTCTTATGTGATATTCTCTTTTTCATAAGTATACTAATTATTAAGAAAAGGAAGATTGACAGCTTGCATATCTAACCTTTTCACTAGGATTGAAGTATTTGGAGGGCCCGATGAGGTAGGTGAAGCAGTGGTTCGAAGCATAACAGGATCAGGGCAACACCCTGAGGTGAAAGGCACATTGATAAAATCAAGTTTGAGGGAGGATTCTATCAGAAATGCCAAATACTACGAACTGGAGTTCAGAGTTGAGAGCCCCTCGTTTAGGCGACACAATGTCTCCGTCTGCTGCGCTCGTGGTGGTAGGCTTTTTACTTTAAATGCTCAAGCACCCGAATCAGAGTGGCCAGGATTGAAGTTAGATTTCTATAGGATTGCTAATTCATTTAGCCTCACAATTTAGTGATTCAAAACGAAGCTTCAATAGGAAATAAGGGCAGAAGCCTAGACCAAAAAGCTTCCCTTAGGTCGACCTTATAGATGCTTTGTTTCCAAAACCATGTTTTTGATTTGCATAGCTAGAAAACCAAACAAATTGTGTGATATACGGGGCATCTGCTGCAGTAGAACCCAAGCATTTCTTAATTTAATAAATAGGACTGACAAATAAGTTTTAACTTTATATATTACACGTTTCTTTTCCACTTTTTGAAATAAAATACAGATCAGAAGTTTGTCACTATATGATGATTCTCTAACAACTGTAACTATTATACACATTTAAATGATTACCTAGGTATTTGTGATCAAAACTACATTGAAACATACTAACCCATAAAATATTGCTCAAATACAACTAATGTACATAAGTCCCCCGTTTCCCAACTCATTGACCAAACCGAAAGTGGAAGGTCAAGCACAAGTAATCTGCCTCCGCTTAACCATCTTCTCATAATTCTCAGAAACCATTGCTGTCAAATTAGGGTCTCCATATCCAATCTCGGCGCCAAGTCTGGCAAAACAACAGGTAAGCCGTCTCACTAATTTAGCTAGCAATAAGATGTTGAGTTTGGATAATTAATTTTCACAATAAATCAACTAATAAGAAAAGAAACACGATATTCTATCTATGGTTGACCTTGGAGGGGACCTAACAGGTCAACTGATCCATTCCAAAATCCATGCAGAAGAACTCAGTCAAGCAAAACAACTTATTTCAATTTTTAATGACGAGCAACGGGAGGGAGAGAGAGAGAGAGAGAGAGAGAATTAATGCAATTGACAAATACAAGTGCGAAATTTACATACTTTTGGTCAAGTACAAGTTTCTGAACTTCTTTGATGGCAGAACTTGCTGCATAGAGAGATATCTTCCCCACCTGCATAAATTTCCAAGAAGTACACGCCAACACCAACTGGTCAACAAAAACAGTATATAAATCAAGCATTTTAAAAGGAGAAAATAAGATATAAGCAAGTGATAACTAAGGAGGAAAGCTAATAATTAAATGTAACTTTTCCTTCTTCTCACCTCCAATACTTGAACTTTTGATTCATGTTCAATCGGTAGACAGCGAATTTCCTCTGTCAATCGTACAGCATCGCCCAGGCTTTCCGGAGATAAGAAATCAAGGCCCAGCTGAACATTCGACTAAAATATAGAGATATAACGCACATAGACATATTCGACGGTGAGAATTCATTTTGTGTCCATTAAACACAAGAATATCCACTTTAATTCATCAAATTTAATATTCAGTGATAACTGCCAGATCTGGATTGTAATGAATTTAGGCTAAAACCTACATATATAAGCATTCCACTTCAAATACAAAATGCAATATAAATTTAATTCAAGCAGCTTATAGAAACACTTTTAGTCATGGATCAACCAATGCCATAATTTTTTGTAATAAACTAGCCCAAGTAGAAACCAAACAATGAAGCAAATATCGTTTACCATATATTACTTGAGTTATGGCACTATCAGCCTAGGTAATTCAGTAGATTAAATGTTCATAAAAACTAGATTATATTAATACTTGTATACCTATGAAGGTCATCAATTTAGTAACTATTTAGTATGTAAGTGAAATAATGATGTAAATGAACTCACTTGAACATTCCTTGCTTGGAAAGGGCAACCAGCAGGAACAAATATAGCTTCCCCCAAATTCTGTTCAAATGACCAAGGCTCCACTCCTATTTTGGAAAATAATAATCAAATTAAAAACAAAGATAAATAATATTTTTTCAGAAATTTCTAGGACTACCCTTAATGAAGCACATCGGCAAAAACTAACAAAATTTAAGTAAATGGATTTATAGGGTAAAATAGTAAATTGCATGTTTTTAAATACAAGGCAATTCTTACCACCCTCCCCTTCATTCCAAAAAGAAGCAAAGCTTTATTAAGGTGTGGTCTCTACTTAATAAGATTTCATCCTCGTCATAGTATAGTATGCAGCCTGATCCTACCTCAGGCCTTATCTACAGTTGATTTGGGGACTCAACCCTCTATAGATAATCTTGGTGATGGCACACTAAGACACTTCACTCAGCCTTTCTAGTCAACCCATCAAAGGTAACCCTTTTTTAGAGACATCTTTCCAAAACCTTGACTTCGACCTCTATTAAGAAAATTGATGAGGGGAAACAATTAAACCCTTCTTATTCCATTTACCTACAAAACTAGGACAAGAACTTCACTCATTTCCTTAAATTAAAATATTAAATTGACGATTTCTGACCGTACCTTCCTCCCTCTCAAATCAACAAAACATCCTTAAACTTCCAAATATAGCACTGGGGGAATGAGAGGGATTGTTCTCCTCATATCCACTTCTTAAAAAAATCTTAAACTCCCAATAAAGGGGAATCACTTTATTCTATTTCCATCGCTCTCGTTACCATAATTAAAAGAAACTCTACGAGATTTCATCAACTCAGTGGGTACAATGAAGCACCCAAGAGCAAGGCAAGGCCCTCTGTAATGCCAAACTAATTTATCCCACTTCTCTATACAGCTCTTGAAAATTTTTAAAAATGTCAGGAATCATATTTTATTATTCCATATTTAGAATATTATAGTTAAAATTTATAACTGTAATATTCCTCAATCATAGGGATCTGATTATATCCCTAAATCATAAGGATGTAATTACATTAAGTGCTGTTATCATATCTCCTAAATTAGTTTTCCAATCTTGTATATATGTCTTATGTACTCTAAGCAATAAAATCATTCTATTCTACCCTAATAGTTGAGAAAAACAAACAAAAAACATAGCATCTTACCAAATTCTTCCTTCAACTTTCTTTTATGGTGTTTGTCAAGAAAAATAGCTCCACCATATAGAGGCCATGCAACCTTGAATCCGGAGAGTATCATTAGAAATAAGAAAAAGCAAAACAAGTTACTTAACAAATAAAAAGGATAAGCAATGTAATTTAAAATGATTTTTTAAAGACTTACAAATTCATTTCCCACATCATCTGACTTCCCCAATTCCTTCCAATGAATTTTCAAATATTTAGTCAATATTGGAACATCCTGCCGACGAAAAACATCCCAAAGAACTCCAGGATGTGTTTTCTCAGAGACATCTCTATTTTGTGTAGACAGGACCTTACAATTGACCATATCACCTTCAGCACTAGAATAAATTTCAAATTCTTGATCCATAATTGACTTATTCTGGTTTGAATCCATGTCAAGTCCACTACTTTTTGTACCAAGTGATGAATCAAGTGAACTCCCGCTTGAAAATATTTGAGGATCTCCATGTGACTCTTTCGCCTCAGATTCCTCATCAGCTTTATCCTTTTGCATGATTTCAATTTTAGTTCTCTGCCAATCCTTTAACTTTACTTCATTTGTATGAACCAAAAGGTACACCTGTTGAAACTCAATAAATTAATTATTTATTACTTCAAACAAATCAAAATTCCATTATTTAACTCTAGAAAATATAACACAGAGATTAGGGAGAGAGATAGAGAGAAAGAGAACTTCAAATTATTAAACACAAATGCACAGCATGTAGTAGTGCTTAGGTAAACAATCCACATGTTTAGACATTTGAATACAAATCGCACTTTATAAATTGTCGGTAAACATAAATCAATAATGAAGCATCAAATTGATTTTGTCAATACCCTCAAAATAAATTTGAACAAAGTTTATAGATATGTAAGGAGGATAAAGTACAATACCATGTCACGAATATTGAAGTGGAGATTTGTCACTGAATCACCTCTTCCAAGTTCATCGCTAATTCCATAAGCTATATATATCTTGGGTCCTACGTCATTCTGCAAGGAGTAATGAGGCAATTTAGCTGCAACATTGAGAAGGCCCCACTTGGAGTGGATATACTGAAGTAAAGGTAGTTTGCTGATAAACTCGGGTCTTTGATACAAGAGAAATTCTTCAGATGCGCTAGGTGAAGGCCAATCCTTCAATTTTAATAACTGTGGCCAACCATTTTCATGAACACGCCCTTCGAAGTATCCTTTCATGAACTGAGCAAGCTCGATATCAATCTGTCAATATAAAAATAATAAAATACAGACATAGCAGAGTGATTAAAATTTTAAAAAAAATGATGAAACCAAAACAGAGTTCAACATGAAACCAATACAATCTCAATCACCAAAAAGACAAGAGGTAAAGATATGTGTACCTCAGATCCATCTAAGCAATCTATGGCCTTAACCATCCTGTTTTCATCTTTTGCTTTTTCATCTGTTGTCTCTTGAACCCCCCTCCATATGACCGTTGGATCCCAGCTTGAAATGGATGACCCATCAAATACTTTCTTAACAATAATGGGCTCACCAGTTTTCCAATGCTTTCTAAATTTTCCAATCCCATCAGTTTTGATATCGTCAGATGCTGGACAAAAAAGATAATTATCATCACTGGCTTCTCTATGAGAACACTGGCACAGTCTGAGATCATTCAGCCCAGTTTCTGGTGGACCATCGGCATCACTAATTCTGCAGCCACTAACCATTTCCTCTACATTTTTCACCAACTTTGCTACCCAATTCATCTTGAAAATTCGGCTTAAGTTTAATGAAGAATGACCACAGCCACCATACTCCTTAGGGGGGCATGGAATACTTCCATTGTCATTGGATCTCCAATGGGGAAATTTACTTAATATATTTTGATCACAAGTTTTAGCTAGCTCTGTCTGAGGTTCTTTATTGTGATCTGCAGTTGCTTCTCGAAGATCTCGACAGCAATTAAGGCACAAATCATATGAGCAATTTGGACAGCGTCGATGATAATCAGTTATAGGTATCCTACAGAAATTGCTGCAAGAAAACAAATCAAAATAAATAATGACTTTTTATAGAACAGGTGCTTGATGATCAGCACCCACTAAAATCAACCATTCTACAAAATTTGTTACAAATGTACCAGCACATCTGCTCATCTGTGTTGAATTTTATTCTCGGAAGATCTATTTCAGCACCTGAGAGAAAACACTTTTATAACGTCATCAAATGCTCAACACCACACAGAAAAACAACATAGACAACCAATAACCACTAACTGCGCAAAGCTGCAAAAAGCCAAATAAACCTTAAAATGGGCCTTACCACGCAACTTCTTTTCTAGTTCAACTTCAAAACACTGTTCACGATGGATCTGCTTTACCACCGGAAGCACCGAAGATAGCAACACATGGAGATACTGTAACTTATCCAGAACAGGTGTCTCGCGTATACGAACCTTAATCCCATCAAAACCAGAAAATCACTAACAGTGAAAAAACTTACACATGCTAAAACTTCAAAAGTAAAAGTCCCCATAAGCACATTTAGGAGAAGGAAATAAGAAGGTAAGTTGAACGGAGCTTTTCTTATAAGCTAAAATAAACTTTGCACTTAACTTTCGTAGAAGTTTTCTTATTTTACTTTTCCAAAAGTTAAAATGCATAAGTAAATTTGAGCTAACAGAAGAAGCTCATCTCATTTTAGTAGCTAATGATCTTCTTTCATGAGTGTTAATGAGAAATTTATTCAAACGGAATCTAAATTTGTAACAAACAAAAGACCTTGATAGAATTATCACTCCGCAAGCAAGTCTTGCAATTACATATACCGCGGCAAGCAGGACATATCCTCTGTACATCATCCAACGAAATGTCCGAGTACCTAAAAACAAGCAAACCATAACTTAAAATAACAACCCAACTGAAAGAGTTATTATCTCTTATCCTTACTAAAATTCCATTCTCACCATGCTGATATACAGCTATCACAGTATCCCCTCCGGTCACATTTTAAGCACCACGTAACTCTATCTCTGTCATTCCTCCGGCACTGATGACAAGTCTGCCCGCCGGTGTCTTCAGAAGAACCAGAGGTTCCGTCGGAATATTCCTGCTACACAACACAACCTTCCAAATTTAGCACAGTACACTACGCTTGCATCAAAATCACCCACCCAAACAGAACCATAAATGAACTCACAGTGGTGGCATTAGCATCCAAGCTCCTTCGCGATCTCTTGCGCGAGGAGTCCGGCGGGGAATCATAGGAGACCCAATTGTCTTCTTCATAGAGCGCCACATCAGCATCAGCATCCGCATCCACATCTACATCCACATCCACATCTGCATCTGCATCTGCATCAGCATCAGCATCAGCATCCGCATCCACATCCACATCCACCTCGTCATGAGCATGTCTCGCAGAGGAGGCTCTTCGAGCGTCACGCTCGGGCGTGTAACGAAACTGATTCTTCGAGAGCTTCTTCTGCGAAAGGCTTATAGCAGAGAGAGGAACGTCGAAATCGTCGCTCTTACTCTCCAAATAAACATCAGACTCGTTCAGCGACTGCGACTTCCTCTTGGCTTTCTTGAGGTTGGCCCTCATTGCGGAATTCGCGGCGCGCTTCTTAGCCTGGATGTAGTGCTTCTCGCACACCGTCTTGTCAGGCATCGACATGGCCGTGCACCGCCACTGCTTTCCGTCGGACCTCTTGCACCGTAAGTCGTCCGGAATTCCCGCCGCATTGTCCTCGCCGTTGGTCGATCGCGCGTGATCCATTCGAAGAGGAACCCTAACTGAGCAGTAGCGCGAAGCACGAGGAGACGAATACAAACCCTATCCGAAAGAGGAATTGAATTGCGAGTGAGTTCAACGTGTTACGGGCCGTGGCGGTGGAATTGGTCGGAGATTGAGATTGCTGCGGCGGCGAGCGGCGGCGAGCGGCGGTTAGTGTTGGAAAGTTGACAGAGAGAGAAAGTGAAAGAAAGAAAGAGTTGCGTTGCGAGATAAGCATCGAAAAAGCTTACATAATACATTCAGTAAACGATGGAGGGCCTGAGAGAGAGTGATCCTTTCGTGCGCCTGCAACTCGAACGGTAAAAAAAAAAATTATAATTAAGTTATTTGCTTTTTTAAAACAGATTAATTTTCGAATATTGGAAGGAAGACTCAATTCATTAGAACCTGTCTAAAATATATGATCTTTTTTTATCATTGAATGAAAATTTAAATCATTTTAGATATATTTATTAACCTGTTTTTATTTTGATATATTTATCCTATTGATATATTTATCTGTTTTTCTTTTTTCTTTTCAAAATCTTACCACAAATTTTAATAGTTCAACAAATTTTGTTGTGCAAGATTTGTAAGTTCGTTGCTATGAGAAGTGTCTGTAACAACTTTTGTATGATTGCTCCATAAATAATCAGTATAATTTTATGAGTGTAAAGATTTTTTTCATATGGTTAATTAATTAAAAATCATTTTAAATATATTTATTATTGTTAAATTCTAAAAACTTGTTATATGTACGATAATATGTGTTTTTTTATTGATAAACATTTAGATAACTTTTATATGAAAATTAAATTTTGTTCTGATTTTTATTCTTAATAAGTTTCATTATAAAACTTTGTTAATAAATGGATTTAATCATTATAATTAAATAGAGTTAAAGATATTCAGAAATAAAAACGGTGTCGTCACTTATGTCATCAATAATCTTGTTTGTTATATCAATAAACTTTTAATATTATATTCATTAATAAAGTTTAATTCAATTTTACATCAAATTAGAGAATTCAAAATATATTTAATATTGAATATTTTCTAGAAATCATCATATTAAATAAAATATATTACACTACTAATTTTAAAATGTTCACTAATAGCATTTTTGTACTTCTGCTAGTGATTTTAAAATAATTTATATTACATATATTCATATCAAAAAAACAAACATTATCTCTGAACACATCCACTCCTATTGGTTATCATGAGTTCCTGAAAAATTCTCTACTTAAGTCAAACTGACAATCATTACAAAGAAAAAGAAAATACACAATCATATGCACAACAGAGAATAATCATATGCACAACAGAGAATATAAGTCAAACTAACAATCATTACAAAGGAAAAGAAAATAGGATAAGCTAATGTTAACATGACACTTAATATCTCAACCAATTCAAATTGTAGCATTTAATAATCCTGTCATCACATTATTTATACACGTCTAAGCAAAATATAATATTATACTTTATATCTAGATTTAAGCACGGATTTCGACACAAAAAGTTTTGCACCTGTCATAAAATCTCTTAGTGGATTGCGGCAAAGGTCTAGACTCCACCTGACCTAATAAATCGATAAAAGTTCTCTATAAATGATAAGTTGACTTATGGCATCGTCAAACAATGGGGTCAACTCTTAATCCCACCATAATCACCTTCAACTCTCCCCATGTAGACTATGATACTCTATGTGAGTTTTTATGCCTAAAGTATAGGATGACTTCTGACTGACATGTATTCATAGTCAATGGATAACACTAAATTAATAAATATTTGTACTTTTTTCTTTGAAGTTAAAACCCCAAACAATCATACAGTTCAAAAAACTTTTCTCTATTTCATTCCATTGATCCACTTTCACCCTTTTAAAGTCATTACACTTCCTTAGAACATAATTTATAACAATTTTCATCAACCTTTCCACTTCATACATTACTTGATATCATATATAACCTTCCCATTTAAAATTACAATTATCATAACAAAATTTCATAAGGTTCTCATACCCACATGTATTATTTGTATTCTCAACATTTAAAGAGTCTAGTCAAATAAACTTCATGCACTGTTCAAAACACACATATAATTGTTTCATCCTACTGTCATGCTTTGCGTTTCATATAATACACAAATTTATATTCATCAATAAACTTACCAAAAACATTTTTATTATCAATCAATCACCCATCATCACATTGAGCAACAAATTTGTCGCTTCGGCAATAAATAGAGGCAAAAAAAGTTTAGTGGTATGTCGTTTGGACAACACATTTTGTTGTTTAGGCAAGTAGTTGTTGCTTGAGAAATAACTCGATAGAAAACAAATTAGAATTTTAGAGTATTCTTGCCTTTGTGAGATTTTCTCTTACTTGCACTAAAATAGTAAAGTTTCACCCTCGTCTCAATACCCATAACTCAAAATTAAACAGCACAACAATTTAAACCAGCTCATGGATCAAAACACAACATGCAAAAATTTACTTAAAACCAAGAAGAATTAATTTTCTTAACCCTAATTGGTGTCCTTGAAGCTCGCCCACGTTATCCCTCAACTTCCACCCACAAAATCCAATCTACACACAAAAGGACTTGGGTAAAAGATCTAGACATAAAGTTGAACTCACCAACACATAGAGAGTTTCTAGGAGTAGAGAAACCTATACGCAACTTAAAAAAAGACTAATACAAAAAAAACATAGATTAAGCATCTAGAAACTAAGAAGAAAATTTATTCTATTTTTGATTTCAATAATGGTTTAGTTTGAAGAGTCATCTACAAATATCTCAAGATAACTCCTGACCAAAAGAAGATAATCTAAATTTGAATTAAATATAAGAATGATTTGTTGATTTAAATTAGAATTTTGAAGTGTGACGATGAGTTTTTTAGAATTTTCTAACATATATATATATTATAAATAATCTAAATGTGAAACATAACACAATAATATCACAATAGCACAATAATATATATATATATATATATATATATATATATATTGAAAATATATATA